CCCACACTAATCCTAAATCCAAGTTTCGAGACACAAATCTATAGGTTCACCAAAGTAGGATCTACAATTAAGCGCATGGTAGATTTGGAGCGCACTCGGCACAAACCTCCCCGTAAGTAATTCCTGATATCCAACTTTTAGACTCCGACTCTTCTCAAGTTACTCACAAATCAAATTGTACCAAATTTAGTACACAGTAGTACGAATGTCCACAACTTACTACATACCCCAATCCTACACCCGCACACTGATCCTAAATCTAATTTTCAGCCTGGCTCCAAATTTCATGATTCTAGCTCTACTGGTTCACTAAAATTCAAATTGTACCAAATTTAGTACCATTTAGTACCCATAAGTATTAATTTCTTAAACTGAATTCTGATCCCAATCCTATTCCCATACAGTGTTCCTGACTCCAAATTCCATTGTTTCCGCTCTATCGGTTCACCCAAATCTGAATTATACCAATAATAGTACGAATAAGTACATTTTTTAAACATATGTAAAAAATTTCCAAAACTACGTACATATCCAAATCCTACAATCCGACGATAATGTTAATTTCAAATTTCAGGATTTCAGCTCGATTTGTATCTTAAAATTAAATTTGTACCAAATATAGTACCATATAGTTCTTTTCGTACACATGAGTACACGCTTTCAAAACCATGTCCCTACATCGCAACCCTAATTCGCTTTTCATTCGCTTAGCTCTATTCATTCACATGCTACGAAATTGTACCAAAATTAGTACATTTTAGTACTTTTTCGCATACTTATAGTTCGAATGTCAAAAAACCCTTTGCTATATCTATTCCACCCTCCATCAGTGACCCTCATTTAAAATTTAAGAGTTCTAGTTCTACCGGTTCGCCAAATACAAATGGTGTAATATTTTGTACTTTTCGTACCGTTCTAGTACGAATTTTTAAAAACCTAGCCTTATCTGTCACATTTGGACCAAGAGTGACCCTTACCCAAAATTTAAAGATTCTAGTCAAGTCAATCAATTCTAGGAGCCCCCATTAATTTTACATATTTTTCTTGTCATCCTCATCGTGGAGGGTATAAAAACTTCGGCCTGGCCGAACTTAACATATTTTTTATATGTTTAAAATAAATTCACTTGCTGGTAAAAAAAGATCGATGGCATTGGTCCACGTTTAGGTATACTTTTTAATTTTTGGTATTTTAAAGATGGGAGGTTATTTAATATATTTTGGGTTCTCAATAATATTCTTATGATCACATATTTTTGGAATTATTCCGGGTTTCTATACCCTTTAGGGAATTTACAAATGTCTTGAGATAATTTCGGAATGATTCCTAAGAATATAATAATATTTATTTAAAACTTATATCGATTCATATTATGTTCCTACTCCCTCAAGGGTCACAGGAACAAGACTATTATATGCACGAGGTATCTGATTTGTTCCAAGCTTCGCAAATTGTAAGTCCGAAGAAAAAATCACTTATTATCGACACCGAACACAATAGACGGCACAAAGACATAGATCGGGCTACAAACCTTCAATAACGTATATAACGGAACATTAGCACAAATGTTCAAGCTTTAACAGAGTGTCAAAATTGTTCAGTACAAATATAATTATAGTAAACAAGCTATAGCTCAGCGTCGAACTCAATTCTTTGTATATAATATTATTACGATTTAGAGGACAAAGTTATATGAGGCTATCATCTACGTAAACAGTATTTTTGGAGGGTTGAGGTTGGTGCTCTGGTTCAATTGAAAATTTTCCTCGGAAGGTAGAATGATTACAAAGGATGGTTAAATTGTCTTAGAATTCTATACTTACGGCTATATGGGGTCAACCCCAAAATGCGGAACACTTCATTCAACTACTTTAATAAATGGTGGGGTATTCCCCTAGAAAGGGACGAATATTAGTAACACAGAAAATTCGGGGGTACCGTTGTATGGGGGTTACCCAAAAAATTCAATCAATATTGATAATTTTTTGCAGGTCGGTTTGGTACCCAAGTAGAAGCAAACATAGCCATAGCCAATTCCATCGTAAACTTGTCCATAATTCTCAAGATCCGTATATTTTAGGTATACCGTTATGTGGGGGCTATTTCAAAAAGTGGACCCATATTGGGGGGCTATTTATCCCTATATGTAGGCTATGCCTAATTATTATTGATCTGCCTTCTGACAAAAGACTCTATGCAAACTCTTGGCGATCTATCTCAATTCGTTTAGAGGCTACAGTTATTACAACTAACGGACACACATGTAGGGTCGGAAATGATTATTTCGATGAGTTCAAATGTTCAAAATATGGGCCTATATTGTACGTTGTCTGTTTATATGGGTATTACCCTACACGAATACGAAATGACACCTACTTCGGTTGAAAAATCTAACCAAAAGCTTCTAAATACTGAAAATGGCTCTATATCGTTATACCAACATCATAAATATCGAGCAGAAAGCCTAAATCTATTTGTTCACGGAATCGTTGTAAGGTTGGAACTTTCAATAAAATTTAGCGTGTTGAAATATATGGGTACGAGTAAGTTAAACACCCATATACCTCCTGATCGTTATTTGCAAAATTTCGATATGTGGCTATTATCAGGACAGTTATTTCACTTCGAAAAACACACAATAATATCAAAAACCATTCTTCACTTACCCCCGATCTTAGCTGCAGCAGCGTCGTGTCATCGACAATTCCCAACTCCTCCCAAGAACGTGGTGGTGGTGGCGGTGCCGCAGCACCCGGAACTTGATTTTGTGACGAAATCTTATGCGCTGTTATCCAATTCGATTTGTCGTCATCAAGACCCATAGGTGAGGGAGTGTTTGCCTCTTCAGCCTTCAGACTAGCACGTCGAGCAGTTAGAGCTCGATTTGGTGAAGGATCTCTTTGCAAGTTATGCATAACCTCAATGGCTTTGTGAGCGGTGCGAGGACTTATTATGCTCTCCACAGGACTTATGCTCAAACGTTTAAAGGACAAAGACTTGGGAGATGTGGGAGATTTCGGGGATTTTTGTGGTGATTTTGGCGATGGACTATAGGATGATGAAGCAGGAGATGGTGTCTTCGTTAAGGGTTTCATTTTTTCCGGGTGGTTGGTATTTTTTTGAGATTGTTGTTGTTGTTGTTGCTGATTGAGAGGTTTGGTATTGTCATTTGGTATATCCAATGTTAAAATGGTGGTTTTACTTGAGTCCACATCGGAGGGTGGGGAATGGATGATAAATGGTGGTTGCAGCTGATTGTCGGATATTCCACTAGGCCCTCCTACTCCACCTCCTCCTGTGCTTAGTGATTTTCCTATTGGATGCTGTTGATTGGTTGATGAATTTGCATCACTATCAGGCGTGCGCATTTTCACAACTTCTCCCCCAAATGTCACCCTTTTGGGTGTGCGTGAGGGTGTGGATGGCGTAACAAGGGTGTAATACGAATCTCTGCCCTGCCCATCTTCAGTGTCATCTGAATCACTCAGTAGTTTCACCAATGAGGCGGAGGAGGCATCATGTAAACTTTTTGCACTGGCCAGGCGGCCACACACAACCTCATCTTCCAGACTATTGACGAAATTTTCGCTGTGAGATTTATGGCAGACATCCGGTGGTTGTTCCGGCTCAACCAAACAGACGTCATCATCTTTGGCTTCGAGAATACGCATTGTCAGGGTATCGTCATTAATTTTTATTTCAGTTTCCATAATTATTTTGGTCGGACAGGCGAGTAGGGGTTCATTACTGCCCACTGCCTCTTCGACCACCACATGTACCTCATCATTTTCATGGGGCACAGGAGGATGCCAACAATTGGCTAACTTCGAGGGCTTGGAATTTGCCATGAGGCGCCAGGTGTTAATATTCTCCTCTGTTGAGGCTAAGAATTTTGATTGGGAACCGGCCGAGGATACTGAACCATCCGATTCATTTAGACCATAGACGTTGCATAGCAGATCGAACTCCCGAAATGCTCCATGGGACATATAGCTAACAAATTCCTGTTCACCGAGGAGCTCACGCATTTTCCTTAGGACCTTTAGGGTAATTTCCTGGTGTGTAACCTGACCCATTTTCTGTATTAGCATATCAATGGTGGTCCTGATAATAAAATGTCGCTTCGAGGTGTGTAGTGTGGATTGAACCAACGCTGGTAGGGATAGCATAACACCACATGTTAGGCGTCCACCAAATGGTTCATTGGTTATCTTTTGATTGAGGCCAATATCGAGGATTTGTAAAATAACAGCCTCCGGTATGGCTGTTTCGGAAAGATAGACACGCAGACAATCCAAGGCACCCTTCCTTACTGTAGGGGCCTGATGCCCCAGGTTCTCCACCAATTGGCCTATCAATGGCTGCATAAACGGATCTGCCTTGGCCTTCATTACAACCAGCACATCAACGAATACGCGTAGAGCATGTTGCCGTACCTGCCATTCGGGATCTTTGAGACGTTCCAAAAATTCGGCAAACATCAGACGGGGACATGTTGACTCAGGTAATTTCCGTGTTCTTAAAATATGCTCCCACAAGGGAGTCAATTGTATGTTGGTCGTCGGGGCTGAAGATGATGATGATGACGACGCTGTTGTTGTTGCTGTACGACTCTGATGAACAGCTGATGAAGTACGCATAGTTGTTGTTATTGTTGTTCCAACTGCTATGTGAACGTTGACCGGAATATCCTTACAAGTCTCTCTATGCCGTAGTGGCCTTCTACAAAAACTTAGTCATGTAAAATTCCACGTTTTAACAAAGAGGACGCTAGTCCATATATTAATTTACAATTGTTGTTGTTGTTTTGGACTTTGTTTTTCTTTTCTTGTCGTTGTAGTTGTTATTTTTGTTGTTGTTGTTGCGAGAAAAAATAGAAACACTATTTTTAATTGTTTCCTTAAACTTCAACCTTATTTCAACTTCTGTGTGTGGCCTTTAACCCGGCTTTGCTGTCATGCCACAACAATATTGTATAAATTCTCTTATAGACATTGATTATTTTGTTAACCAAAATGAGAATTTTTAGGTTTTAAATTCCATTTTCTTTACAATACAACACATTTTTAAAGGCCTTCTTATTTCAAAAATAAATATTTTTTATTCAAAATTCACTAGGTTTTCCTTCTTTGAAATAAAATTTTTATTTATTATTTTTATTTGTTGTTATTTTTTCCACACATACAAGCTTTTGAGGACTATTTCGTATTCCGTATCCTTCGCGTAACTTTCACTTCAACACTCACCATATGACTGCAGGATTCACTGTTATCCACTTGGCTATTTGTATAAAATAATAAATATGAAGTGTGAGTAAAGTTGAGTAAGAGAGCCGGAAAACTGACCATTGCTGTGATAGAGAGAGAGAGAGAGAGAGAGTGGCGTTGCCAACCCTAATGTTAAAGGACATGTTGCTTGCATATGACAGCTAGTAAGCTGGCAAAAGGATATTAGGGTCATACAAAAATTACACTTTAGCACACTGCTAGTGGTTGGGAAATTTATTATAGGGATGAAAGACTTTGGTAAGGACAAATTTGGTATAGCTCCCATTTCGGGCATCCATATGCGGAATTTTGAAGGCATTAGCCGCGATGATTTGTTTTTAAGGATTCTTGATGGCTGACTCATATCAAAATTTGTGCGCTGTCTATATATAGGTCCATGTTTTTCTATGACCCAATATAAAATTTTCGTTTTTTGGATATTAATAAATGTTTACCGAAATTTTCTCAGGATGGGGATATAATTTGACATATCGGATTCCTGGGGAATGAATAATAAATTGAAAAAGTCCGGCTTAATTTTTCCAACTGGAGAGACTGTAATTTTGAACACAATTTGTTTCGGAGCATTAACAACCTACTAGATCATAACACCATAACATAGTTTACATGTACTTGAATGCACTTCACGTGGTGGAGGTTATAAAAAGTTCAGCCCGGTCAAACTTAATGTCGTTTTTATTGTTTTTGAAATCGCATGTGCTCAATTAAATCGAATGAGAAGATTTTTACAAAAAACATATCTTCCATCCATCTCGAGTCCTTGTGCATTTTTTCGTTCGTATTTTATTGAAAAATATGACATGTTTGGCCTCCGAATATTCTAAAAAATGTCGCTTATAAGACAAGAAATCGATATTCACATGTTTTCCTTTTTCACGATTTGCCGATATTTGCCAGAAATCCTTATACATATCTACGAACACTAATAAATATCGTATAAATTGTAGATTATGAAAAAGTGTCGAGTGCGATGCCTAATGAGTAACAACATTAAATTAACAAGAGAATATCTTGATCCCAAAAAAAAAAAAAAAAATATAAAAAGGGATTTCCAGAAAATAAACCAGCTTTCTGAATCGGTTTTAATCAATCGATTAACTAGAATAAATTGTCCGCGTAACGAAATCCTGCATACGTGCTTGGCTTCCATAAAATCGTGACGCTCCTCTTTATACCCTTCACCACACTGTGGTACGGGGTATTATGTCTTTGTGCATATGTTTGTAACAGGCAAAAGGAATCGAGATAGACCCATGGTTCCTTTTGAGAATATGCATAGAATCACTCTTTGAGTCGATTTATGCATGTCCGTCCGTCTGTTGATGTTAAATTGTAAACTAAGTACAGGTCCGATTTGGATGAAATTTGGCACAGCTAATCTATTTGGCCCAAGGACGAACCCTATTGAAATTGGAGCAAATCGGTTCAGATTTAGATATAGCTCCCATATATATTTTCGTCCGATTTTAGGTAAATGGTGCACCAAAGTCCCTGAAAATCATTCGATTGGCATGAATTTTGGCATAGGGTACTGAATTAAGTGTAAAATGACGTGTGTCAAGTTTCGTGAAAATCGGTTCAGATTTATATATAGCTCCCATATATAGTTTCGCCCGATTTTAGGTAAATGGTGCACATAAGTCCCTGAAAACCATTCGATTTGCATGTATTTTGGCATAGCGTACTGAGTTAAGTGTAGAATGATGTCTGTCAAGTTTCGTGAAAATCGGTTCAGATCTAGATATAGCTCCGATATATAGTTTCGCCCAATTTTAAGTAAATGGTGCACCAAAGTCCCTGAAAACCATTCGATTTGCATGAATTTTGGCATAGCGTACTAAATTAAGTGTATATTGACGTATGCTAAGTTTCGTGAAAATCGGTTCATATTTAGATATAGCTTCCATATATATTTTCTTCCGATTTAAGGTAAATGGTGCACAAAAGTACCTATATATCCTAAGATTTGCACTAAATTAGATTTGGAATTTTAGGTAAATGGTGCATCAAAGTCCCTGAAAATCATTAGATTTGCACGAATTTGGTTTCGTGAAAATCGGTTCAGATTTAGATATTTTCGTCCGATTTTATGTAAATGGTTATCAAAAATCCCCATATGTGTTCCGATTTTGATATAGCGTACTGAATAAAGTCTAGAATGATGTGTGCAAAGTTTTGTGAAAATCGGTACAGATTTACATACACCTCCTAAATATATTTTGGTCCGATTTTAAGTAAATGGTGCTCTAAAGATCCATAGCTAGGCCGTTTGACACAACGTACTGAAGTTAATATAAACTAATATCTGACAAGTTTCCTTGAAATCGGTTCAGATATAGATATAGCATAGCTTCCATATATAATTTCGACTTATTCATGTTAATTGTACACCAAATAATTAGTAGGTGTCTGATTGAGATTAAATTTGTTTTTTGCTTTAAACTGATTTACAAAATTTAGCATAGGTTGCAGAATGGCATGTATAGGGATTGATGTTAGTCGGTTTAGATATAGATAATGATCACATATTTAACACTAGATTGCCGAAGGCGGTCATTTTAACGGTTTTTTCAATTTCAAGTACAATAATAACTGTGCTTATAATGACACTTTTTTTTAATTTTGTGACTTTTTGTACGACATAGAATTACGTTTATTATAAAAAAAAGTCGCAAAAATTTAAAAATCTGTGTCATTATATACACAGTTGTTTTTGTACTTGAAATTGAAAAACGGTCAAAATGACTGCCTTCGGCAATCTAGTGTTAAGTTCGTTCGATTTTATGTCAATGTTCCTTCGAAAAGGTGATGTATTTTAGGGTACATATAGAATATAGCCAAAGTAATGAAAATGTTGAATATCAGTTCATGTTTTGGTATAGCCTTTATGACGGTTTCAGACGTATTTTCTAACCCATGTGGCCTAGAGGATGAAGAATATATTTTTAGAAAAATTTAGATAAAGAACTATGTTTGGGCACAACTACCAATGTGAAATTAGTTTCGCTTTCCGAATTCCAGGTGAATTAACTAGTTTGTTTTTCCAAGATGCTTTTCGATATGTGCCCTATTTCGCAGACAATTTACGATGACATATTCTCCATATAACGATCCCGAACGTTTTACTTTTAATGCACATATTTTGCAGTGGTATTCCACTGGCTGTAACTTTTAAACCAATTGATCTATTAACAAAAGTGTTTTTCAAAAAAAAAAAAAAAAAAATAAAATAAAAAATGTTCACATAAAAATCTTCATATTTATGAAAATACGAAATAGCCAGACGTCTTTACTTTCATGTGACACCAATTTTATTACAATACCTGGAGTAGTTCAAATGTTGTTCGACAAATTCGAGAGCATTTTGGCTTACGCCATTTTGATCTACTGCATCGATAGATGGCGCTGCGGTCGAGAAATTGTCAGATCTTTACAGACAAGATTTGTCCATCATAAAATACATAAACGTTTTAGAAAATATATATTTTTAATTAAAAAAAATATGTCATGCCGATTGACATATGTATATTTTATTTATTTTTTTAATTTTCATATTATTTAAAATTGATAAATTGGTTACAAATAAAAGAAGTGTTGCCATTATTTATTTCTCAAACGAGACTACCTTCCATAATTATGTCATGAGTAGTTGTATAGCGTAGTATATTATCGGCCCGTCCGACTATACCGATTTGCTTATTGCATTTGTTCATAATAGAAAATATTCGTCTCTTAATAAAATATTGTTTATATATGCAACAAATGACATCGCTATTGGATTTAGTTGAATTATTTCTTATATAAGCTCTTAAATAGAATTTCATTGTGTCGGCACTTCATTCACCTCTAAACATAGAAAGTCCATGATTTTAAAGACATTAAATCCTTCAATCAATAAATGTCTGACATTACAACGCAAATATATTTATTTTCACTTGCTATTTTGCACTAAAGTTCTAACTGTCAGAAATGTTAAGATTAACATTGCAAAACTTTATTTACAGTACTGCGATTATTCGCTTTGTGTGATTGTTACAATTCCCATTGTTTGTTTGTCACTTGCTTGCCACTCAGGAACATGCCTTCAAAAGAAAACTTTTTCAACAGTTCGTTAAGTTGAAACCAAAAACGAAATAAATCAGGTGACAGAGTCATGCAAAATATAAAAAATATGTTTAGTCACTTAAAAATTATTTTTAAAAATTTCAGGCGTTTGTAAGTATTCTAAAAAATATTTTTTCGTATATAACATTTCATATTTATAAATGTATGAGCGGATATCGAAATGGAGTTTTTACCAATTTGTTTTGCTATACTCCATTGAAGAAAACTTTAATTTTTTTTCTCCATTT